TTTTGATCTCGATTCTTTTAATTTGATTGGGAGCTTTTCGACCCATATTTTCTACACGATTTTTATGTAAAAAGTGTTCAATTATGTGCTGAACTGTTGAAGAGCTTAGATTTACCATTTCAGCTACATTATGTTGGGGAATTTCCTTTTTTAATGCTTCAATGCCAAATTTCGCTTTCCAGTTGATGTACCCCTTTCCATGGTTAATAAAATGCATGCACTTTAATTTTTTTAGTATTTTCCCTCAAAAATATGATTACAAATGATCGCAAAATAAGAATATTTTTATTTCCGTCTGAAATGACGACGATATTAACGGTACTCTTAACTGCATCATTTAAGCTTTAACATGAAATTTTGAATCAACATATATTTTTAACTACAATAGATTAATTTTCTAAATATACAACCTTCCATAAACTAAACAACAGAACCTGAATTTCTATACTTTAAACCTTAAAGCAACGTGTCTAATTTTTAGGAAAAACGAATAAATTAGGTTTTGATAATGAAAGCTGGATATTACACAGCGCTGTAAAATTATTTTAACAAGAACAACATATTAAATCCTATATCACAACATCATGTAAAATGGGTGATTCGGATATAGAAAAACTTCACATTATATTAAACGACTACTTATGAATAATAGAAGCAGATAAAAGATAAATATGATGCACAGTGTGTTAAGACAGAAATTAGTCGATCAAAATTCTGTATTTTCTAAACCAGTAGATATTGAAATAAAATTTACCAAAAATTTTGTTTTTAAGATAGCCTTTCTTTTGAATCTAACTGCCGATCGGGCGTGTGAACATGTCTAATAAATTTGTTATTACACATTATTACAAATTAGCGAGGGCTAATTTTTTGTTTTGAAACTGTATCATTTAGCTATTGGTAGGAAAAATTTCATGGAGAAACTTGGATATACTTTTTGGGTATCGTAGATAGAAGTAAAAATAGCCATAGCAAAACGGCTGCTTTTTTATGTATTTTTATTTATAAAATTTTATTGATTAAAATTGACTTTTCTATACACAATGAATGCCAATTCCATACAAGCTTTAAAAAAAATCAAAAACGATCATTTTTCAATAAGTATTAAAATAGTTATAACGGTTTAAAGATTGCCCAATTTTTGCGAAATTGTGATTTTGAAAATTGCATGAACGGTTTTTATGCAAATGTTGTATATGGAGTGGGTGTTGTAATAAACGAAACATCAAGAAAAAATTGGGCCGTATTTATTATAACGTAAATACAAAATATAGGTATTCAACTTTCTACCTATCATAGCTTTTGAAGAAACAAAGAAAATTTACCATTTTTGGTCTTTAATTTAGAGGGGTTCTGATAGGCCGACTGGGCTCAAAATAGATTAGACTCTTGATATAAATGAAAAGCAATTTAAAACATTTAGTTGTTATAATAACACTACACACTAGACAACAAAATACATATGTAGGTATGTAGATTTATATAAAAAACTATGACAGGTACTTTATTCAAAAATTTGGCCAAAAATATGATGTAAATTAAATAACGAAGATAAAGATACTAGATAAATAAAAGATTAAAATAATAAATTACTAAAATGTAAACTGAAATACAAAGTTAAAACAATTTAGTAACGAAGGTAATTCTATGTTAAATATAACAAATAAAAATAAATACTAGAAATCTCAATATTTATTTAAATTTAAATACAAATAATGAAAGTACAATTATTAAAACAATAAATTTGTCATGAAATATATTTTATTATATTTTAAATCAATTTGCAGAAACGCAAACAGCTTAGGTATAGAGATGTCACATAATAGTAATATAAAGGTCCTTCTCTCATAAAGAGGGCTTTTAACTTTAGGTTTAGCTTTAAACATATAAATTTAATATATGTAAAGACAATAAAATATATAATTATAATTATATTTACATAAGAATAAAATAATCACGATTCTTACGTATTCACATACTTACCTATTGGGTAATGGGTTCGCAATGGAACACCAGCATAGTCAAACCAAATATGCCCCTCAGATACATGAGTAACAAACCGATTAAAGTACTTTTTGATCTACAATAATAATTATTAAATATCAACTCCGTAAATTTATTTGTTTGACTTTAAAACCTTATCAGTGACTATTGTTAAATAACTAAGACGAGGTACTATCATATAAAAGCTATCCGGTTGCTGTAATCCATTAATTTCATTGGGATCAGCCTGGAAACACATAGCAACCCGTCCATCCCAAACTGACCGTAGGATTTCTCTGTCATATGACATTATGAAAATAGAAAAAACGGGCAAAATAACTTATATTGCTCGTAATAATCACATATTAATCAAATACACATATATTCCCAGATTAACGCATTGACAAGAATTTACGTCTCATATAGGTACAAAATAGCATAGTTGCCATAAAAAACGAATGAAATGAAACTGTCGTGTATGTTCAGAGAACTACTCTTATGAAACGAAGCCAAAAGTTTTTGAAAATATTAATAAAGCCGTTTGCGAATTCGAGTAAACTGATGGTAAATTGAATATTGGTATTTACCAGAATTTTGAGTAGGGTAAATTAGATAAAAATTAGATAAATTAGGTTTTACCATTGTGAAAATTTTAAAATATGTTTAATAAATATATATATGTATATGAAAACTTTTAAACAAAAATAATAAATAAGTGCAATATATATATAAATAAATATTTATATAAATTTCAATTTACTCGAACTCGCACACGGCCTATATGTAAAATTTGTTTTAATTTTCGATTCGCCTTGCTTTATCTCAATATATATAACAGAAAAGATCCTTTAAAAACCAGAAACTCTTTTATTTCTAACAATAAGCCAAAAATTCAATAATAAACGTTCATTTATTTTGAATAACATTTTTGTCACACGTTGTACGTGTGTGAGTCAAAAGGAAAATAGAGAGTTTTGACGGTCGTGTCTCCCGCCATTATTATTGAAGGAAGTGTTACACAAAATAATTTGTAATATTTAAATAAATAAAGTAGATAAAATAACCCAGTAGCAGAACACTCAAGGCCTTGTCAAAAAAAGGCCTTTTAAAAGCACTCCATCAGAAGGTGTAATGAAATTCATATGCCTTTTGTTAAAGTACTTTAAAAAGGCCTTTACTAAGAAGGCGTCACTAAAGGAGTTGATGCGCATTGTGTACACGCAAGCGGTGTTCAAATCATATTTGCATGTTTTGTTTTTAAGTAATCTGTTTTTTTTTCGTTTTGGCTTACCTTTGCTTTATTTCGTTGTCGTCTAGACTACTGTCTCTTCTTTGTTAAGTTAAGTTATTGCAAGTTATGAAATTCTAACAATATTAGTCCTTTCGTGAATTCGAAAGTAAACTGATCGCGAGTGAAATAATTTTTAAATAGTGCTTATTAAAAGTAATAAAAATATATAAACTTATTAAATAATTAAATAAACTAATTAAAATAAATGAAAAGACAACTGAACCATAAATATTAAATAATAGTGCAAAACAGTGGAAAATTGTACGTAAAAATTGTAACAAAACAATTGTAAGTATACTTTTATACCTGTATGGAATTATATTTAAAGTTGTCATTAGTGCATATTTTTTTCAGTTAGTATTTTTATTAAAATTAAACAACATATATGTGGCAGCACCAAAAAATATAAAGAAAGAACTGTCAACAATGCAGAAGGGAGACAACAATATCCGCAGCTCCCGCTAGTAGTAGTTTTGGGAAAAATATAAAACAACACGTGAATAAATGTATAAACAAAACCTTAACTTTAATAATAGTTTGTAATAAATAATTATAAGAAATAAATAAAGTTATTCATTTCCACTAAGGAGTGTTAGGATTGAAATAAAAAGTAAACATAGTAAACCACAACATTGGTGACCAAGCCGACGCCGAACATAAAAAATGGCTACTCAAGAGCAAAAGATAACCGAAGACACTAACCCAATCAACGAAAACGCAACAATCACTGCAATAAAGCTGCCGATGCCAACGTTAATAAAAAACATTGACCTTTGGTTTATACAGTTGGACTACTGGTTCCAAGTCAACAACATAAAGGGCGATACTCAAAAGTTTGGCACAGTTATCGCAGCACTGGATGCATCGCTGTTAGAACAGATTTATAACACAATACAGAATCCACCAGCAACTCAGAAGTACGAAGCTATCAAGCAAGCAATAATAAAAAACTTTGCGGATAGTGAACAAAAACGCATACAAAAATTAGTTAGTGGTTTACAGCTTGGGGATAAAAAGCCATCTCATCTTTTAAACGAATTGCAACGCATTAGTGGAAACAAACAAGACAAACAATTACTGAAAGGGTTATGGTTACAACGTCTTCCTGTAGAAGTACAGAAGTCTAGCCACAATTCAAGTGGAACTACCTGAGATGGCGGAATTGGCAGACAACATAACCGAAACAATCCGTATAAATTCAACAATGCAAGGAACTTATGTCAATGCAGCTAACGCCCCTACAGCAGCTCATATTCAACGTGATGCACAAATCGAACAGCTTCAACGAGAAGTGACCAGACTTACGAAAATGGTCTCGAAATTATCAACCGAACACCGCTCAAGAACAAATCAACGTTCACGTTCAACATCCAGAAACCGGCAATGTCATGATGATAGTGAAGAAAAGAGCAGTACAAATTGTTGGTATCATAGAACATATGGGTCAAATGCAAAAAATTGCAAGCAGTCATGCGCATATGGCACAAAAAACTAAAACCGACTTCGTCTACGGCGGCAGAGGAAGTTGTAAACGAAACATCTACAAGACTGTTCGTCTATGACAATAAGACAAAAAAATCATTCCTAATTGACACGGGTGCAGATGTTTCACTTATTGCCGCCAAACAAAAAAATTCAAATACAAACAATAACAACGAAAGAATACTCTACGCAGCAAATGGTTCTACGATCAAAACATTTGGTGAAATAGAGATAACTCTAGCTCTTGGCTTACGAAGAAATTTCACATGGCCATTTATTATCGCAGATGTAAACACTTCAATCATCGGTGCAGATTTTTTAAATCATTTCGGATTAATAGTAGACATAAAAATGAAACGATTGATCGACACATCGACAAACATTTTCTCAGCCGCAAGCGAACGTAAGGTAAGTGCGAAAAAAATATCAACTGTGAACACATCTTGCAAAATTGCAGATCTACTAAAAGAATATATCGACATCACTAAACCAACACCGACAAATCGCCAGGTGACCAAAGTCACTCACCACATATTAACAAAAGGTCCACCAATATGTGAGAGACCACGTAGATTACCTCCAGACAAGTTAGCAGCAGCAAAAGAAGAATTCCAAAACTTAGTCACAGCCGGAATATGCCGTCCATCAAGTAACAATTGGGCTAGCCCCTTACATATGGTAAAAAAACCAGACGGTAGTTGGAGACCTTGTGGAGATTACCGTCGCTTAAATGCAATCACCATCCCAGATCGTTACCCAGTTCCTCATATACATGATTTTGCACACATGTTATATAAACAAAAAGTTTTTTCAACCATCGACCTGATTAAAGCATATCACCAGATACCAGTTGAACCGGGGGATATTCCAAAAACGGCGATCATAACTCCATTTGGATTATTTGAATTTACTAACATGGCATTCGGACTTTGCAATGCAGGTCAAACATTTCAACGCTTCATTCACAAAGTATTACGAGATCTCGAATTCGCCTTTGCCTATATTGACGACGTCATTATTGCATCAGCAAACGAAGAAGAGCACAGGCAACACTTGCAACAAGTATTCGAACGATTCAGAAAACATGGTTTAATAATAAACATATCAAAATGCGTTTTTGCTCATCAGTGAAAAGGGCATTCAACCTCTACTAGATCGAGTGAAGAGCATCATCGAGTACCCGCTTCCAACAAAAACAAAAGAATTAAGAAGATTTCTAGCATTACTTAACTTTTATCGCAGGTTCGTACCAAACGCTGTAGAGTCTCAAACGGCACTTCAACAAATGATAAAAGGAAACAAGAAGAACGACAACACACCGTTATGCTGGACCGAAATGAACAAAACAATCTTCCAAAAATGTAAAGATGAACTAACAAACTCGACACTACTTGTTCATCTGTCAAAAACTGCTACGCTTGCATTACAAGTAGACGCTTCGGATAAAGCTCTCGGCGCAGTTCTTCATCAAGTGATAGACAGCATGTTCCAACCACTGGGTTTTTTCTCTAAACGATTAACAGATATACAAAAACGATACAGCACATACGATCGTGAGTTGTTAGCCGCATATCAGGGCATAAAACATTTTCGACATATGTTAGAAGGTCGTGAATTCGTGTTAATAACTGACCACAAGCCACTCACGTTCACATTCCAGCAAAAGTCCGACATGGCTTCACCACGTCAAGTCCATCAGCTTGATTATATAGGTCAATTTACAACAAATATCGTTCATGTCAGCGGAAAAGACAACATCCCAGCAGATTTTCTCTCGCGGATAGATAATTTTAGCATCCCAAAAATCGACTACGATTGCATAATTGAATTACAACGATGTTGCCCACAACTGCAAGATATCAAAAACAACAATTCCATCGAAATCAAACTTTTATCTTTACCAACAATATCAGATAAAATTTATTGCGAAGTTTCAACTGGGCGAATTCGTCCTTACATTCCGCAGAAATACCGACTACATATCTTTAAAGCTACGCATGGGTTGTCTCATCCCAGCATTCGGGGCACAACCAAAATGATAGCTGAAAAATTTTTCTGGCCTTCTATAAATACTGATATTAGAGACTGGACCCGACAATGTATCCCATGCCAACGTTCTAAAGTGCAACGTCACAACCGTTCACCTATTTGTCAATATGAACTCGCTGAACACAGATTCGAACATATAAATATAGACATCGTCGGCCCGCTACCACCATCAAACAACTGCACATATATATTAACCATCATCGACCGTTTCAGCCGATGGCCAGGAGCAATTCCGATCCCAGATCAAACAGCGGAAACCATCGCAAACGCACTGATTACTCAATGGATCACACGTTTTGGCATACCCTTACGTATCACAACAGACCAAGGAAGACAATTTGAATCTTCATTGTTTAACCAACTAGCTGAAGTTATCGGTCGCAAACACTTACAAACTACGAGTTACCATCCTCAAAGTAACGGAATGGTGGAACGATTTCACCGCACATTAAAAGCAGCCTTAATGTGCCATCAAACAACTTCTTGAGCAGAAGTTTTACCAATAGTATTGTTAGGTCTACGCACGATTTTTAAACCAGACATTGGAGCTTCTGCTGCTAAAATGCTATATGGCCAAACTCTACGTTTATCGGGCGAAATAGTAAGCAACCCTAGCTACAGAAAT